TCCATGTCAGACTATTGGGCCTGTCTATATTATGACCTAATGGGAGAAGACCCCCAGCTCATGATGGCCCCCTAATGCTGCATGATTAGCTCTATGATCCCCTCTCTCCCAGAAGCCACTTGGATATGGTACACATTTCTGCACAGGGTGGCACAGCCTTGCTTCTGGATCCTAGATTCCATATTGTGATTCTCCTGTTCAGTATTGCCATGAAGTCCACATGACACATTTCCCTGGCATAGAGGCCTCAGTAGCACAGACTTCCTGAGGTACAGGACAGGTAGTCCAGCCACACTCCTCCTCATGGTTTCCTGTCTGATTTGTTATGGGTGGAGACAAGGACAACCTTGAGGTTTTCTAGCACCATCCCTTTCCTGCAAGATCTCCTTATATTTGCGTAGAAAGATTCTCTCCTCTAGCAGTGGCTTATCTGGACTTCTTCTATCTAACATAAAACCAACAGGATATTTAGACTAACGCTAAACCTAACCTAACTTCCAGGGCCCTGGTGCTACCAAGTCGTAGCTGACTGTGTAGCACTCCACTGATTTCCTATATTATTGCAATGGTTCAAGGTCCATGGGAAGTTTTTTCTTAATCCTTCTGTCAACATCCCCACCCTTCATGGCTCCCCTTTAGGGTGTTCCATCTGGATCTGACAGTTTCTGTATCAGAGGCTGGGGATGAAACCCAGGATCTTTCAAATATTAGGGAAATGTTCTACCATTGAGCAACACCCTAACCCCCTGGATTCTGAATTCTGTTTCTGCTGTATCTAGTCTTCCCCCTGCCCATGGGACCCATGCTTGAAGACAGGACATTAATAGTAGCCTACCTGAGTTCAGATATGGGTCTACCCAGCCTTTAAATGGTTCCCAGTGACCCTTCCTCTTTGTGTTCATGACCTTATGTAGTCCTCTACCAAAGAAAACTGGGATGATCTCTGTAGCCTTAAGAATATAATGGAAATGTTTGAATGGGACTGTCAAGGCTAGGTCTCAATGACCCACCATGTTTCTTAGATCTCTCATTCTAGAATAGGCCAGCCAGACTACACTTGTCTTAATAAATGGGGTATTCTATTGCAGACAGGGCATTTAGGGCATGGAAGAGAAGTCTTTTCCATGTAGGAGAAGTTGGTAAAAGATGACATTAAGACCTAGGCCTAAAGCACTACTGGACCAAGTAGAAAAAAAAAATCATTTAGACAGAGATATTAAAAAATTTATCTGATGCCTTGATATGCACTGGTATCCAAGCAGCAAACACACCATGTGTCTCTGAGTTCCTAAATGGACTTTTTTTTTTTTTTTTGTCTTTTTGAGACAGGGTCTCCCTATTGCTTCAGCTGGCCTGGAGCTCACTATGTAGACCAGGCAGGCTTTGAACTCACAGAGATCCGCTTGCTTTTGCCTCCCGAGTGCTGGGACTAAAGGCGTGCGACACCACGCCCCCGGCCTAAATGGGTTTTTTAAAAAGATTATTGATGCTCATTTGATCACTTTCCAATGACAGGCTTTGTGGACCTTTACCACAAAGCTAGTTCTGGGGCTATTCATGTCCATTAAACATTCACTGGGGTGCACATGGTGAGACAGGATCTCGGTCAGTTACAAGGAATGAGGGTGGAAGGCTGGTGCATGAGAAGTGTGTGTAAGAGTTGTGTGGAAGGAACAGAGTGGGAGAAAACATGGAGGCTGGGAGACATGGATGGCTGAAGAGGAAGGGACGAGAAGGGGAGTTGTTTAAGGAGAGAAGAAAGGAGCTCAGGAAGCCTCGAGTAATCCTGCTCATGTCCGTGGGTTGTTGGAGGAGACAGAATGGAGAAGAGGCTGTTTTTAAACACCTCCTTTTATATTTTCTAGTGAGTAATTATATTGTACACTTACTAAACATTCCTTTTATAAAATGATTCTATTTCTTTTTGCTTTGGTTTTGTTTTGTTGTTTGTTGTGGGACAGAGTCTCACTGTGTATATCTGGCTGGCCTTGAACTCACTATATAGGCCCAGCTGAGACTGAGCACTCACACAGCCTGTCTCCTGAATGCTGGTATGAAAAATATGTACTGTCAGGGCTGGCTCAATTAAAGTATTCTTTAACTTTACATCGCAGAGCTCACACACACACACACAGGGGAGTGTGCATATGTACAACACATCATCACATCTTGCCCATTTCCCTGTGCAGTCAGTATTAGAACATCTCATGTACCCTGTACCATGTGTTGTCCTTTAGTGCTAATAGAGGTCTGAAGACCAGTGGCCATAAGTGTGCTGGGATGCAAACACTGGCTTCATACAGGACACAGACCAATGGTTATGTGTTTGTGAATATTGGTTAAGGGTATGAAGGGTATAACATAACTGTAGAAGATCCCACAGATCTGATGCCCAATTTGGGAGGGACCCTAGGAAGAAGCAGACTAGGTACTGAGCTCACAGGTGGCAGCTCCCCTCAATGCCAGGTTCCAGCATGACTCCTGGAATCAGTTCCTGAATGCCCAGGACCCATGAGGAATGTGCCATGTGTCCTGTGATGCCTCCTTCACCTTTCTGATGAAAGCTCTGCCTATTCAGCTAGAGTTTAAGCCCCAGGAGCACAGATACTTCCTGGTGTATTTTGTACCTCAACATTTGGTAAAAGTTACTCAAAATGCTTGTCAGATGAATCCTCCTGATGACACTGCATGTACCTCTGGGGTCTGATGTGTCATAGAGGATCTTATCAATGTAAGACAGTAAAAGATGGCACCAGACTACGGATCCAGAAATGGGGTGGCATCTTGAATGGAGGCTTCTGCACCTGCCAATCTGGCCCCCCAGAGGGAGTCTAGGGGTCACAGATTTTGAGTCATTTGGACCTCACTTGCATGTTTCTCTCACAGATATTCATTCTCTCTACCTCAACTTCACTGTGAAAACTCAATTTGGACCTAGAGAGCCCTGGTGTAAAGTGAGCAGCTCAGTGGATAAACTGCCTTTTCTTCAGTACGATACTGACAACAAGGCTAACCCGTTGGGTAACCTGGGAAAGGACATATATAACACCGACCTATGGGCATATTTGACCCAAAGAATTGAATACATGGGACAAGAGATCAGGAATAGGCTACCTGACATCCAACTGGAGAAGCACAGTGTGAGGGGTAAGTATGGGAAGGCCCACAGAGTCTGAGCACGTCAGCAAGAAAGAGCAAGGCAGGGGCACATAGCGAGGAGGCTCTGCTGTATAGGAGCTGGGCATTGTCTAAACTGGAAGCACATGGTACCCAGTGGGTGAGAAAAGACAAGTCAAGGAGGAAAGAATATTGGTCCCTAAGCCAGCGGAGTAAGACTTGATCTTTTGGGAGGTCATGGATTCAGTAAAACTTTTTTAAAACTATTTTTTAAGATTTTTGTTATTATGAATGTACCTGGGTACGAGGCATATGTTCCCATGAGTCCAGATGCCTGCAGAGGCCAGAAGAGGACACCAGATTCCCTGGAGCTGGAGTTACAGGCAGTTGAGTGCCACTCAGTGTGGGTGCCAAGAAGCAAACCCCAGCCCTCCGCAAGAACAGTCAATATTCCTAACCACTGTGCCACCTCTCCAACTCAGGGTCATGGATCTATCGAGAATAGAGGATGATGGGTATTTTCTGTGCTTTGCAGGTCATCCCACCTTGCAGGTCAAGATGTTCTGTCAGCATAGACATGGACAGCATGTAGGTGCTTGCTGGCAGTTCACCATCGATGGACAGTATTCCTTCTTCTTCTACCCAATGAACTTGACCTGGACAGTGAGTCATCCTGAAGCTACAGGCACCATGAAGGAGTGGGAGAAGGACAAGGAACTCGTTAAGGACCTCAAGAAGGTGTCCATAGACGATTGCGGTCACTGGCTGGAGGAACTTTTAAAGTACTGGAAACCAGTGCCAGGTAACTAGGTTATCACAAGGCAACTTCAACAGGGTGGGAAGTGTGGCAACTGTCTTTAAAGGTCTGATGACTTCTCTATGTGTCTGTCTGCTGTGGGCACTTTGGGAAATGTGGTAGACTGAGTCAATGGCTTCTTGTTGGTTTCCCAGTCTAGAGAGCCAGTGATTACCACAAGGAGTACTCACCTCCTAATATTTCTTCTTCCCCATTGACCAACGGCCCATTTATTTAATGGTCTGCTAATGGGTGCTCAAGTGTGTGTGCATCACAGTAACCGTCCAGCTTTTTTTCCCACCAGGTCCAAAATACCACTTCTAAAGTCTGTGTTACAGTCTCCTGATAAAGTTAAATGCCATGTCCAGAAAGTTCAAACTACAGTAAATATGTCACATTCCATGGTAGTTACATGGACATTTGCTTCCCTTGGCAGTGAAATAGCTCATCATGGACATGTTCCCTAAAACTCCTATTCATCTACCCAGGACCTGGTAAAAACGGTTGTCACCCGTATGTCCTATGTTCTACCCAGGGAGAGCAGGTACTAATGAAGGTGCATTGTTATGTTTATTCAGGATTTTTGCTCTTTGTTTTAGGGCCAACATCAATAGCTCCAGATGCCACCCAGAATGTGCATCTGAACACTACCCAACTTTCATTACAGAATTCATTTATCATCATTTTAGTAATCATTTTAATCATAATTGCTGTCCTTGTTGTGATCCTTGTGAGGAATTTCTGCCCAGCTGAAGGTGAGGAGCAGGCTGAGCTCTGGCTCTTGATGTGGTCTTACTCTGGGGATGACTTGGGGTAGATGTCTTACACAAGCTCTGTCCACTGCAATGGCTGTCTCTCCACTGAATTGATGTGCCTTCTTAGTGTTGAGCCCCACACTGCTGAGTAGGCCTAGGGATAGGTATTGCTGTGGTACAGGAGGCCAACTTAGGTAGCACAGCTACGCAGTCAGAGGAGGGAAGAAACAGGAGGGTCCCCCTGAGGTGGGACAGGATCCAAGTCCTGGAAAAATTGAATGGGGTGTTGTCTCCTCATGATCCAACCCTGTGAGGATGTCATGACGTGTGCACTTGGGAAAATCTGATAGGCTTTAATTTAAAACATTGACTCTTTGGGGATGACATGATCTAGGGACTGCCCATCCCCTGTTGTGCATTCTGTAGAACATCAGAAATAACAATGTTAGACCAACCCTTGAAGGCAAGCACTGGCTTTTGTTGACAGTTTGGCAACCGATGGACTATATTAACTTTTTCTCAGACACTGAGAGTGTCCAAGAACTGAATGAAAGGAGCTTTAGAATGCCTCACCTGTGTGTGCTCCTGCAGGGGCCCTTACTATGCGTATTTAGTCATTCTGAAAAATTCACTAGAGGTGACTACTCACAGTCAGTTAGGACTATTGATTTTAGTCACTGATTGACAATTCTCTCCCTATCAGATGAAGCTGGAAAGAAGAAATAGATGACTCAGCAGTTCAGGGTTCTTCTTGCTGATCCAGAGAACCAAGTTGGTTCCAGAAACCAAGTCCGATAGCTCAGGACCAGTTGTAACTCCAACTCCAGAGGAATCCTTTGCCGCAGGCCTGCAAGGTCACCTGCACCTACATTCACCTACCACCACACAGAGACACACACATAATTAAAAGTAATAAAAATAAATATTTTTAAGTGATGCAATTGTTTTTCCCTTGGTTTTCACATGTAGGAGGAAGGTTTATTAAGAAGATCCCTTAGGTTTCAATCTGGGCCCGTGTGGTTCTGGCTTCCACTCCCTGTGGTCCTGTGGATGGTGATGTTTCCTCTTTCCTGTCATACACTGGGTGACCTTCAGCACCAGGCAGGAGCTGAGTTGCATGGGCTCTCTGGACTCCCTCACCCCAGGGTCCCTTCCCAGCTCTCACAGACCATACCCTCAGGGACTCCCAGCAACAGAAGAACAGAATGTAAAGGATATGGAAAGGCAAAGAATAAAATGGGGCCTATAGCCAGGGTCAGAAAGGAAAGAACCAGTGCTGGGCAGAGCGCACATGGGTTTGTAGAGTGGCCACCGCCCTCACCCTTCTCAGGTCCACGCCTTTGCTCTGGCCTTTCCCTCTGTCCCTGTCCATTCCTGCAACTTCACATTCCTGCTTCCAGTCCTCAGGTTTTCCCATCCATATCTCTGCCATCAAAGGTATCTTCCTGTTGTTTCCTTTCAAAAAAAAAACAACTAAGGCGTTGTGTCTGAGATAGGGTCCAGGCTCTCAATCAAGGTCTTGAAGACAGATGTTAGCTGTCCTGTAAGCAATGCTGTGCTCTCCTAGGGACCTCTGTGAAGTTGGAACCTAAGACATTCAGGAAACGTTCTTCTCTCTTTTTCCTTTTTCTTTCTAGCATGTGTGTGTGTGTGTGTGTGTGTGTGTGTGTGTGTGTGTATTCCTATGTGTGTTATGTTAGTGAATGTGGGTGTCAGAGGTCAAGCTCAGGTGTCAAAATGTCTCAGGATGGTTTTCTCCTCTTCTTTTTCTCTTCTCTTTCTTCTTCTGAGACAGGATCTCCCTTTAGGCCAGCTTGCCTAGAACTCCCTGTGTAGACCAGGCTGGCCTTGACTCACAGAGATCCACTGCCTGCCTCTGCTTTCTGACCACCTAGTTTTCTTGAGACAGGGTCTCTCACTGAACCAGGAGCTCACTGATTTGGCTAGACTGACTGGCCAGCAAGCCCATATCTGCCAGCTGTTCCCTTCTCTCCTCTTCTTCTTCCTCCCCTTCCTCCTCCTCCCCCTCCTCCTCCTCCCCTTCCTCCTCCTTCTGCTCCCCCTCCTCCTACTGCTCTTCCTCTTCCTCCTCCCTCCTCAGGTCTGCCAGCTGTCACCCCCCATCCCCTGTTGCTCTGGGAATACAGGCATGCTCTGCCACCCCAGCTTCTTTGTAACCTGGTTTTGGGGGATCAAACTCAGGTTCTCATGCTTGCAAGGCAAACACTTCACTCACTGAGCTGCTTTTCAGCCTGATGTTCCTTCTTTTCATTGAAGAGTTCCCCTCTGGATTTCACAACTGAAGGGTTCATTCAGTGAGTGATTCATGCATCCTTCCAACCATCTACTAGATACCATTTAAACAACTTCAATGCGTGTTGCTGTCCTGTGTGGTGATAAGCTAGACTGAATGATCCTCTACTTGTTGAGTCTGAGAGACTCCCCACCCTCCCTCACAGGCTTGCTTGGACTCCTACAGGGAACTCAGAACAGTGAAAGGCTGTCTCCTCTTACTGTTTAGGTGAAGCTCTCTGTCTGGGGGACCTGAATGTTTCTACTGAAGAAACACTCAAAATAAATGTAATTACGCCACATGTTTTTTGAGTGTCTCGTTTGATAGTTGTTTCTGAGTAATTCTTTATGTGTCATTTGGTCTGCTTGTCCAGTTTTTACCCTCTGTCTATATTGTGATACATATGTGTTATCTAATTTAGATATATGTTGTGATATATATGATATATGTATATACATACAGATATATTTAATGTTCCCCAAGAAGGGTTTAATTCAAATTGGCCTGAAGTAAATAAGAGAATATATAAACTTAGACATAATTCCATTGAGTTCATAAGATGCAAACAAATCTAATAAAGTTTTAAATTTGTCCTTATAAAACTAAGCTTTATACAAGTCACCCATTTTAGTCAGATGTTGAAATGATTGAACTGGCAACAGTCTAAGCCTTAATGCTTGCCTCTGCCTCCTGAGTGCTGGGATTATACATCTATTTTTTTAAAGAACATTAAATAT